TTGCTCTTTAAGTTTCTCCTTTTTAATGATGAATGACCAGAATGATATACAGCATTCTAGGTGAGGCTCTGAACATTGTCTTACATAACTGCATTAAAGGAAGCGGTGTTTTCTGGAGGTTGTCAGATTTTATTTCTATGTAAAACATTTTTTTTAGTAGATAAATTTAGAAGTTCAATTTTAAAACCTCATCTCTTTAACAAAAGGCTTTATTTCCAGCTTCCCAGAGGCCCCATCCCTGGAAACATTCAAGACCAGGTTGGATGGGGCTCTGAGCAACCTGATCTAGTTAGCGGTGTCCCTCCTCACTAGAGGGGATTGGACTAGATGACCTCTAGGGGTCCCTTCCAACCCCAAACATTCTATGATTCTATGATTCTCTATGTTCTAGCCCTGTTCTTGTCCAGAGAGTGAACACAGCACTGCTGTAGACAAATATAAATAGTTTCATGTATGAAGGAATTTTTCTAATGTTCTTTTTGACAACAGGTTGAAAATTCCCTATCTAACCATAGTTTCTTTTTGCTGGTGTTTCATTTGTTTTAGTAAAGACTGAACATTGAAAAAATAGGTTGAGTGAATTTTTCTGGTTTTTTTTTTGTTTTGTTTTGTTTTTTTTTAAGGTAGGCAAAAAGACTGAACATTTACTTGAAAAAATAGGTTGAGTGAATTTTTCTGTTTTTTTGTTTTGTTTTGTTTTGTTTTTTTTTAAGGTAGGCACAGAACTCTCATCTATATGGGACAGTTAGCTGCAGGTAAAGAGATGTGAATGTTTGAGATATTCAGACTAATTATAACTTGAAAGACCGGCCTAAAATGAAAATGCTTGGTAGAATGCCTGGTTTTGCAAAACTGAGACGCTGCTGCTGTATCTGTATGAGTGAGGAGTTGAGAATGTAATAAGTATTCAAGGAGAGCAGATCAGGGGTTACTCAAGTTTATCATTGTAACTATGACATTAAAGGAACTCCCTCATGGCTTCTAGAAGTGTGAACAACAAATAAACTGTAGCACAGGAAAACAAATTTCTTATTTTCAGGGTAGTAACGGGGTCAACACAGTATGATACCCCGTTCACTAAATGAAGCGTCTGCATTACACATACACACACAGATGGTGCAAATGGAAAAAATAAACAGGGGAGGAAATACACTGCCTGGAGGCAGGTGACATTGAAAGTGATGAAAAAAAAAAAAAATTACAAGGAACCCGAGGAGGCAGATGAGAAAATGAGACGTTGAGAGAACATGCAAGCAACTGAGGAGAAGTGGCTTGTTATGAAAGGAAAGATGGGAAAAAATACGTTAGGCAAAGGGGCAAAGTAAATGCCTCCAAACAGCGCTAGTAATTACAGGGAAGAGAAGGAACACAACATTTTAAAAGACAGGAAGGTGAAAATGGAAGAAAACCCATAAAGTTGAAGGAGAAAAGTTATGGTATGAATATGAAGAACTAACATAAGTGAAATTCTGTATATTTTGAATAGACAGCTCCTACAGATAACTTAGTCAAGTTACAAATAGCAAGCAGTGACATTTTATTTTCCACCAGAGAAAAATAAATCTCTGGAGAAATCTTTTGAAGGAAAAGTATTTTTCGCAAACTAGAGAAGGCAAGTAATTTGTATGAGGATCCCATTATAATTAAACAGCATTTTCTTATGTTAGTAGTAACAGTTTGCTGGTTAAAGTAGTTTGTAAGTATTTGGTTTTTCCTTGACTTCAAATCGGAGAAGTGTTTTCAGATTTCAGTCTCTTTCAGGCCTTGCCAAGTTTAACAGTTATCCACAAAACCAGGCAATATATTTATGGATATGGAATGTCTTCTATCATTTTATTCATAAACAGCTATCTCTCTTGCAAAGTACAAAACCTGCAGAAAACCACACTGTATTGGATTTTGGTTGCAAGGTTTTGGTAGCAGGGGGCTACAGGGACGGCTTCTGTGAGAAGCTGCCAGAAGCTTGCCCTATGTCCGACAGAGCCAATGCCACCAGCTCCAAGATGGATCCGCCACTGGCCAAGGCTGAGCCCACCAGTGATGGTATTTAAGGGTTAACATGTTTAAGAAGGGGAAAAAGAGAAAAAAACAAACTGCGCAACTGCAGTGGGAGAGAGAGTGAGAGGATGTGAGCGGAGCAGCCCTGCAGACCCCAGGCCAGTGCAGCAGGAGGGCAGGAGGAGCTCCAGGTGCCCGAGCAGAGATTCCCCTCAGCCCCTGGGGCAGCCCATGGTGGGGCAGGCTGTGCCCCTGCAGCCTGGGGAGGCCCACGGGGGAGCAGATCCCCACCTGCAGCC